AAGTTAAACCTTTTATTCTCCATAATCATCCAATTTTTCCAACACTATTGGGTCTTCAATTCCTGGCTTTCCAAACTCCTATGATTGAAGTAGTTGAGACTTGAGAGTAGTACTAAAAGAGCAATAAACTAGCAATCATTGATTTGATGCAGTAGTTAAGAATAGTAAAAGAGCAATATGGCTACTAGTGTCTTCCCTGGCATGTACTTACTACAAATAGAATTGGGTATATACATCATGTCTCATTTTATGTAATGGTATTTGACTGTACATAAAATTTTGAAAAGAAAAAAAATTGTAACTTAGTGGTCTAAAACAAGTTAGTATATACATTTATAGGGTTATAAATCATCTTACTAAGCGTAAACTGAGAAGTTTATAGTTAAATTATTTATAATTATAAATACATATAGTTCTTCTTTTAACAAACTAAAAATAAAATTGTGTTACAAAAAATTGGACAAAAGGAGTAATATACCTGATAACTTAATTTACAATTGTAGACTTGATCAAAGTGACAGGAAAGCAAGAAGACAAAAATTCTTGCCATCTGATAAGTTAGTCTTACTTTATAGTTTATACCTATATTTTTTCTGAACTTTGATTTCTAAGGGGTCATTTGATTGGTTGAAGGTGTTACAAAAACAATACAATGTTTGGTTTAAGGGGTTATAAAAACAATATCCACATAACTAATGCGGTGTTAGGTTAATCATGTAAGAAGCAATAATCTTTGCAATTTGTGGTGGTAATATTAAATAATTCTCATGCTTATGAGGGATAAAATATTAAATAAGAATACACATATATTAGCATGTGAAGATGCATGGAAGTATTTAAAGACAAATATATAAGTAATTCCTACATAATATATGTTTAATTAGTATTATTTCATGCATATTCGACCTACATTATAGTTGCCCCATACCAAACGATCCCTTAGGGTATTGGTCCAGTCCCCTTTCTTTCTATTTTTTTAATTTCTTAATAAATTTCAAATTACGTACAAATACTGTATATAGAGGCGGACCTATATGTTATAGTGATGATCACGAATCCCATAAATTTCGGCCAAAATTTTGTATATGTACATGTATAAACCTTAAAAATAGCTAATTTAAAGCACTTGGTATCCTAAACACTAAAAGTCTTTCGGGGCACCGGTTAAGCAGAATATTGTGTCTCCGTTGTATGAAAATCCTGGTTTCGCCTCTAACTGTGTACCATAATTGATCAAGTCAAAGATGCAAAACACAAGCTAGCTAACCACTTTGAACAATATAACAAAATAATATTTTTCCATTATTACATAAACAAGTATCAATTGTAAGATATTACACCCACCAAGAAACACTAATCTCCAAGAGAGAAAAAAATGTCATAGCATAAAGAGTAATAGCCAAGCAAAGATCAAACAATTCAACAAACCTTACAAATAAAACATGGATTTCACATATGGAAACTTGAAGCTAGAGAAAAAATCGTCAATTAGAAAGCTAGGAAGATGCAGAAGCACGCTATTAGCCTCAGAGTTAATTCCTTTGGGAATTGATAATAACACAGCTTATGAGAGACTTTCCCAGTCTATGAGACTTGTTGATGAAGAGTACTCAAACCCTAGAAGCCATACTAAGAGGAGGAAGAACAAAACATGGGCATTTCTCATGAGGCTATTTTCTTGCAAGAAAACTATGATTAGTGACAACATGATATGTGAGGAAAGTGTTTGGAAGCTCGGGACGGAGCCATATCAGGCGGAGGTCTCACGTACGTGCAGTTCTCTGAGGAAGGGAGTGACTACCTACTGGAGCGAGAGCCCAAATAAGTGAGGCGAGAAGATCTTGATCGAAAGCTCACTGTTCTGAATAGTGGTGGTGGGGGAAAAGCCAATAGAAGTAGTGGTCGAGATGAAGAAGAAGAATATGGTGATTCATCTTTCATTTCACTTCCTTTCTTTTAATAAGTCCCTCCATTCCAAAAAGAATGTCAATATTTTACTACTAGTTTGTTTAAAATGAATGTTATCTTTCCAAATTCGAAAATATATAATTTGACTTGAATTACTATATATTTTATTTTAATAACGAACTTTTATAGCAACAGAAATATTATATTATATATGCAAAAAAATTACAAGATTCAAAAGTTTTAGTGCCATAAATTGAAACGATGAAAGTATTTATTTTCATCTTGGTTTCTTTTTTCAACTACCCAGAACAAAAACAATACACATCAAATTAATTAAATCAAAACGAAGCCAAAAGACATTGCTCCGGTACTTTTTATTTTACATTTAATCTTGACACTCAAATTGAGAAAATTATTTGATACTCCTTCCGTTCCATAATAATTGACTTTTGACCTTTGGCACATTCATTAAGAAAATACGAACTCCTAGAGAGGAAAAGATATATTCACTAAATTATTCTTAATTAAAATTTGCACAGTGTTACTTTAACACAATGGCATATATAAATAAGGGCAAATTTTGAAAAAATAAAATTACTCCCTCCGGTCCAAAATAAGTGATTTTTTGGCCGTTTTCTTGTGGTCCAAAATAAGTGATTTTTCCAGATTTCAAGAATGAATTAATTATTTTTTTCCTACATTGTTCTTGGAGTAACTAGTGTTGGAATATGTGTTAGGAGTGTTTATGTGAGATAGTAAAAGTTAATATGGTCAATTTCATTGCTAATTAATGCAAAAAGGTGAATTTCTTAATCTGTGTGAAAACATCCAAAAAATCACTTATTTGGACCGGAAGGAGTAATTCCTTCTTGATTATGTAAAAGGATACTTTTTGGACCAAAATAAAAGGCTAAAAAGTCATTTATTATGGATCGCGGGAGTAACATTAAACATAAGCGGGATTTGGCTAATAAATTGTCTTTGTCTCTCATTAAATGAGAAATTTATGATTATATGCTTTTTCCCAATAACAAGAAGTTGGAAAACACATAACGCCTTCTTAGTTTTTAAAATCCTAAATATTTTTAAACAGATCTTTAATTAGTGTGACAGATAAAAGGAACTGGAGGGATAATAAACTTTAAAGAATCGGCATCTATAAGGAGTTTCTTTTCGGGCGAACGGCACAAATAGCCACTAAGAGTAGTGGCTTTTATTTTAAAGCCACTGTTTTCAATGTATTTAGACTTTAGCCACTCCTTAAAAAACTTGTATCTGACTGGACGAAAATACCCTTCTGGTATAACTTATACCTACGCTATCAACACAAGCAGCAGTTACACAAAGAGAAGAAGCGAGCAGCAGCAGCAGTTACCCAGCGACGATCAACTGAGGATTGATGAAGTTATAGACATCGCCTCCTATGATAATTCTGTATTCTGCACATAGTGTCTTCATTTTAGAAATTGAATTCAAAAAAATAAGAACACTATGTCCTTAACTTTGATTCTACTAGCCTCATTTTGCAAATTGAATAAAAAAACTTAAGGACAAAATGTCCTTCACTTTGTTGTTGTTCTTCTGTATACAAAGTCCTGTAGCTTGAGTTTCAAATTGTATGTTTTAATTTCTGGTTCAAATGTTAAGGACTAACAGTCCTTAACTTTTAAATACATGTTTAAATTTTAAGGACTAGCAGTCCTTAATTATTAATTCCATGTTTAAATGTTAAATGACAGACAGTCCTTAGCTTTTAATTTCTTGTTCAAAAGTTAAGGACTGGCAGTCCTTAACTTTTAATTCCATGTTTAAATGTTAAGGATTGACAGTCCTTAACTTTAATTACATGTTTAAATGTTAAAGGACAGGCAGTCCTTAGCTTTTAATTTCTGGTTCTGAAGTTAAGGACTGGCAGTCCTTAACTTTTAATTCCATGTTTAAATGTTAAGGATTGACAGTCCTTAACTTTAATTACATGTTTAAATGTTAAAGGACAGGCAATCCTTAGCTTTTAATTTCTGGTTCAGAAGTTAAGGACTGGCAGTCTTTAACTTTTAATTCCATATTTAAATGTTAAGGACTGTCTGTTTAAATGTTAAAGGACAGGCAGTCCTTAGCTTTTAATTTCTGGTTCAAAAGTTACGGACATGCAGTCCTTAAGTTTTAATTTTTGGTTCAAAAGTTAAGGACCGACAGTCCTTAAGTTTTATTTTCTTGTTCAAAAGTTAAGGACTCGAAGTCCTTAACTTTTAATTCCATGTTTAAATGTTAAGGAAAGGCAGTCCTTATCTTGGTCTTGCACTTACAGTATACATGTTCTTAATTCTACAAGGATTGCTTTATAACATATGTCATTTGTTTCCCATTCTCTTGACTTGTAGGATGGAAACAATATGCATAATAGTTATTTTTAATGGTAGATGAACTGAAGACTATAAATATCTTGAAACAGAACATAAATCATGAACTAGCAAATGAAAAAGTACCCAATGCCTCGAGTGCCACCAGTTACAAGAGCATTCATGCCATAAAGGGACCATCTATTCACTTTTTCACTACACTTAGTGGCAGTGGCAGNAAAAAAATTTTTCTATTAGTAGTGGCTATTTTTGCTGAGCATTATAACTAGTGGATAAAAATTAAAGACACCCTTAATTAGTGGCTACTACACGCCATTTTTACTTTCTTTTCTCAAAAACACCGCTTTATTACTAACTTCAATATATATATATATTAATCTCTTACTTTTTATGAATAGCCTAGTTTTCTTTTTAAATTTTACCTTGTAAATTATTTCAAGAATTTGAGGAGAGGAAGAGAAGTGGTTTCAATTGGCTCAAGTAAAATATGCGTATATTAGGGGTAACCGAACATTAGGAATGGTAACCAAATATTAGGGTGAATCTGACTCTAATACCATGTAAAAAGGTATTCATGGGAAAAAAATTGTAGGTAATTTATAGTGTATGTTTAAATAAGCAACACAACAAAATACTATATCTATAGTCGTAATCTAGTCAATATTAACTTATCCAACATGACTTAAATAGCTTTTCCATTTGCACTTGAGAAGTTTGCTGATAGTAATCGGTCACAACCTTTCTGCCTTCTAAACAAAGACACTTCAAGAACCTAAAAATATTGTTGGCTTTCTGATAGTAATAGGTTATAATGGCTAATTTCCCTTTTTAAAAACAATAATCAATATCGAGACATTACAAATAAAGATTTGAGTAAAATAAGATTCAATGTTTTCACCAAATAAAGGCGAAATATAAATCTGATTGAACTAGATCAAAGGAGAGATTCTAAAGTAGTTAATACGTGAATTCGGCTTTCGGTCAAAAACCTTCTGTGAGGCCAAAAACTCTGCCTGCCAAAGGCGGAGGTATTGCAGAAATAGCCTCCTGAATAACCTGATAAGGGAAGTACAGAAAACAAAAAATTGTTAGAATGATACATACACAAGAAATGAAACAAGTTAGTCCTAGAATTAGATCCTTTCTCTATTAAGGGAAGATCGATTAATCAGCAAACCATGGGAACACGAAAGTAGGAAGCCACTCTTTCCTAACACACGCTTAGGTCGCTGTACGAACAGCACGAATGTTGTAAAAAGCAAATGATAAAAATACTGAGTGCTATAGTAATTGGTTTTTAAGAGAAAGAAAAGACCAAAGGGTGTAAAATTGCAACCAGCATAGTAAAGACAGGCATAGGAAATTAAACACAGTTGAAAAATCCATTTCTATCCTAGATACAAGCTTTTCCATAAACAGCAATAAAAGCAAAGAGAGTACAAATTCGAGAGTCTATCCTGCCAAAGAACCAGGAAATATTGTTGGATTTCTTAGGAAAGCTCAAATAGACTATTTCCTAAAAGCTTTGCAATCTATGTCCATGATACTTGGTTTAGAAGTGGCGAGGGGCTATTGTGCATGTCGTGTGTGTGTGTGTGTGAGAGAGAGAGAGACAGACAGACAGAGAGAGCTTACATCCAACTGATAGCGGGCTGAAAAGTGGATTAAAAGGATTGCTTTGTTCAGAAACCTGTCTGCGAAATTGATAATCTGGTAGGATGTCACCAAAGCATAAAGAATTACATCAGACTCCTAAATAATTCTACAACACATTCAGGATTTTCTTTTTCAATCCTTCTAGTAAAATCTTGAGGTCAATTAAAAGGGAATCTCAGGAAATGATGCAAAAAGAACCACCTCAGACAGATGAGTATGTCCATATTCTCTTGCGTCATCAGCTGTTGTTTTGTCCTCCACATAAGTACTCTGTAGAAGAATTGCAAAGAACAACTTAAATACTCCAGAACAACTAATGTTGATTACGCAAAATGGAAAAAAGTTCTCCTCACCACTAATTTATTGTACCGGCTATGATACTATAACTTGCATAAGCGTGAGCACAAGTAATGATATTACTACTCCCATCGAAAGTTAATAGTAAAAGATTACTAAGTTAACTAGTAAATCCGATTGTGTCATAATCATAAGGATAAGTGCCATAAACTAGTAAGCAACTTTCTAACAACTCCAACTATGTTCTTCAAAAGTTGGATTATACAAAGAATGCTCATGGGACCTACTAATTAAATCAGCAAAGTGTCCAAAGTTGAAGATGACGAGATATGCAATAACAAAATGTAAAAAATCAAATAGTATATTAGGAAAAAAAGAAGTAAAAGAACCAAATAAACCTCATTATGAAAATAGTTCTTTCCAAGGAGAGAAAAATGACTACAAGGAATCAAAGAAATTGAGCATCATGTTACAAACAAGATACATTATTTGACAAGTGTTACGAAAAGAGAATTTACCTCCATTATGAGGATTTTTGCCCTCAAAACATCAGCATCAACATTTTCGGAATCCTTAATGAAGTCTGACATTGTATCTCCTGTAAATGCAATTTCAGCTGCTGTTGTAGTGTATGTGATCTGTCAAAAATCAAAAGTTAATCTTTGTCATATATCCGGGAAATTTGTTTCAGATGCATTCTTGTGCAAGGTTATGTATTAAGACAGGCAGCGTCGCTGCACCTTTGTCTGAAAAGAATTGCTCAATGTAAAAGCACATAAACTGTTCAAGCTAGTATATAATAAAGGTACTAAATCCATAAATCCATCCAAAAGGTTATTATGGAAACATCGTCATCCCAATGCATAAAGATTCGTATCCTTAGTACAAAAAGGAAAGGAAGAGAATAAAATTTCTGTTCGAATAATGATATCATGACAGACCTCCACACCTGATAACTTTAACTTCTTAATTTCATCTACTGGAAGGCCCACATATTCTTGCTTAAGCTTCTGTTTCACTGAAAATACTATATAACCCTGCATTATACCATAAAAACAAGCTGATTAAAACCTCGCTAGCAGCTGCTTACTCACGCAGAAAGTACAAAGCACATTGGTGCTTCAAAGAATCCACTTTATACTGGTAAAAAAAGGAGTGTGGGTAGGGAAAATGAGCAGCCGAAGCTCAGAGCACTAAGAAAAGTACTCAACCTGGCTAGGAATGACATGGTAAGTCTTGAATGCTCTAACTTTAAGATCCTTTCTCAAGTAGAATTCCTCCCCTGCATTTGCACAAAGATGTATTCACTTAAATTGTGAAATAAGCACCAACTCCAACTTTATAATAACTAATAGTGTCGGCAATATGACCAATACAGGTAGATTTTTACCCACATCCAAACCAATCAAAGTATGGTTCAGTTCAGAGTGATCCATAGCTCGGTGAGCTTCAAAAAGCTTCTCAACACTTTCTTTGATAATTTTTGGTACAATAATAGTAGGAGGTTTCATTCTGTAAAGGCCACGAGTCGCAACATACATAGGTAGTCCTCCAATGTGGTCCATGTGGCCATGAGAGATGAAAAGGAATTGCTGGGAGATGGCACGCTGAGGGCACTTGCCAATATCAAAGGCTAAATTAAGCGTGGGAACTATTATGCATGTCTCATGACCTGCTATTGATATCCCTTCTATTGAGTATCCTTCAATCTGCAAGCTCCTTTCTCTCTTGTGGCTACTGTTACTCCTCGAATTTGAATTGATCGATTCTGAATCTTTCATTTGTTTTGCTCTCCATTTCACAAAACACTGATGGACTCAGCTCTAGAAGAAATTAGAAACAGAGGACTGGATAAGGAGAAGAGGAAAAAAAGAAGAGTTCAGACGCACACAATACATTTTTTAATAATTAATATGCTCGATAAATGGGAAAAGATCACTTTCGCAGAATATGGAGATATTAACTATCAAGTTGTCTAACACACTCATCTTAACTCAAAAGGTAGATTAACTTGGATTTAAGAGGCACTTAAGATCAAATATTAAGAAGGCCAGAAATTAAACCTGGCTTTTTGGATAATTAGAATTATTTGGTAAGTGACTTCAAATTTAACACTTTCACCCCCACCCCCCCAAAAAACCCCAACTGCTGAAATTTTTCGCTATACAATGATAAATATTTCATCTTGGTACGGCTATTATATCACCTTTGCTTGCTATGGTTACTACTTGTTATTTCTGTTTCCTTTTTAGTTTTTTCTTCTTCAGCCGGGGTCTATCGGAAACAATCACTCTACCTTCGTAAAGTAGGAGTAAGATCTGCATGCAGTCTACTCTCCCCATACCCCACTTTGTAGGTTTGTTGTTATTGTATGGCCTTAGTCTCTTTAATTCTGTTTAACGGAAATATCACTCAAGATTTATATAAGAATACAAATAAACTGATAGAAGTCATATAGAAGAACCAAAGATCTATGCCAGTGTTTTTAGGGGCGTTTATGGGCCAGTCTCGGGGCGCGAATTGGGGCGGGGCATACGAAAAATGCATCCGGGCATTAATGAAGGGCGCAGATCCTTTCGGCGCACGCCCCAAGAGATGAGGCACACGCTTAGGCACAAAACTCGCCTCAGAACCAAGGCCCACGCCTGATGGAACTTAATAAATTGAGGGATAATTTTAGCAATTCCCCTTAAATTAATCAAACCCCTCCTCGTTTTATTCCAAATCTGTCCCCACCACATTAGAAAACGCCATAACCTCGTTGCAGTGAAGAAATCGCCCATACTCTATAGAACTTTGAGACTTGAGAAGTGATGTAGTTTTTCTGCATTTCTGCTTTTTCTGGAAGATGAGTGCCATTTGTGCTCTTAACAATGAGAACAATGTATCTCTGACCAAATTCTTCCTTTTTTTTGCACCAAAGAAAAATGTTAAACAACTAGGAAGTTATCCTCTCTCATGTTTTCAGTATATATTTTAAAGGCATCTGTAATGTTGGTCTATATAGTTCAGATCATTGCCACGAACTAGTTTAATTTTATTTCATTTTTGTTTTTTTCTTACAAATGATTGATCACACTTTTTGCTCGTCTTATTTGGAGTTTGGATTGTTATATCGGTTAGAACATCATTGACTTCTTGTTAAGATGTATCTCACGTATTAATCTGCTTTTCTGTTGTTAGTTAATATTATTATAATGATTTTCCTTTTTTGTGATTTGTAAAAAATTTCTACAATTTTTTATGTAAATTTTAGATTTATAAATAATTTTAAGCTTATTTTATTAATTATAAAATTGTAAAATTAAAGATTCTTGAGACTTACGCCCCGTGTTTCGGGGTTTACGCCTCGCCCCATATTGGGTAAAACGCCTCGCCTCGCGCCCCTGCCTTTTAAAACACTGATCTATGTTGAGGCTTTTACCAGGCGGATCCATTGTTTTCAAAAAGGGGATTCAATATTTGAAGAAGTAAACAGTGAAAAATTATCAATAAAGGGATCAGCGTAAAATTTTCAATTAAACTAACAATTTTTTTAATAAGTTAATTATACATACATCAAAATAAGACAAAATTGCATAAAATTTATATAATCAAACTAACACTTTCAGGTTTCAGCCAACTAAACTAATTCTGAAGTACCAAGCATAAAGATTTTATCCACCTCCAGCTATTCACCACTTCTCATTAACTTATGATCAAGTCAGACACAAGAAATTTCTTGGAATCTTTCACAGCATAAAGTAGATTAAACGAAAAGAAAGCAGATTCCCATTGTCTACTTATAAAATAAGAGAGAAAGGTAAAATTATCTTATCTTGCAAATATCATAATACCAATTAGTTGATGGCGATAATGTCGCCGCAATGGTGGTCAGTTGTTGGACTCCTTCAACCGCAAATATTCTTTTTATAGGTCTCTCTCAAGAATCTTACTTTTTTCCTTAATTGAATCAAAATTACTCGAATAACAATGTACGATATAATTATGAAATGCAATCATATTCTTTTTTATATCAAGCCATTTTACTTCCAAAAACTTAATAATACCTTTAAGTATGAAAATCTTATCTTGGTCATTTCATAACTGGTGGCTGTCACACCTCATTTTTCCGCGCCCGCGAGGGTGAAAGGGAGTTTTCTCCAATTAAAGGACAGTCGAAACGGGAT